TATCAATGTGAGAGGTTTTTGTAGGTATTTGGATTTGAATTTGGCTATTATATATTCCCCATGTTCATCCCTTGTGCAAGTATTAGTGATACTACAAGCAGGTATAATCACAGACAACACCACAGACCACTACCCTACCTTTCTCATAACCCACTTATCTAAACTGACTCAAGAAACAAGAAAGATCTCATTTCACCTGCATGATGAAACATCGATAAACAACCTAAAACTAGCACTAGGTGCCATTGATTGGCAGAGAGAGCTGGATGACAGTAATAATATCAATAAAGACATCAAGGTTTATACCACATAAAACCCTAAACCTCTATAACAAACATTGCCCAATCAAAACGAAACAGATCTCAGAAAAGAGGCTAAACAGCCCATCGCTAACAAAAAGTATCTTCAAATCTATTAATAAAAAACACAAAATTGAAAAACAGTTCAGATTAGGCTTAATTACTAAAGAATTTAATAAAAGATACAAATCAATACCCACAGAACTAATACGTAAATCAACACAAGTGTATTATGAAAACTGATTTAGTGAAATGAAAGGCAACATGAAAAGTACCTGGCAAACCCTCTCCAAAATTTTGGGCTCAAGGAAACCAGCTGGAAATAGAGAGAGAGACTTAACTAAACCAGATGAGCCTCACATGCAACCTATAGACACGGCCGACAAATTTAATGTCTTCTTCTCTACTTTATGATCAAAGCTAGCGAGTTAAATTCCAGTGAGTACCTCACTGGCAACTATCCAAATACTCTATTTCTAGCTCCAACTAATCCCACTGAAGTCTCACTCGTCATTAAATCATTAAAGAACATATCAGGTGATCTAGATAACTTGCCGCCATTCATGTTTAACAAATCTATAGCATCCTCAACCTTCCCATCCATACTCAAGACAGCAAGGGTCACCCCGATCCACAAAGGTGGAGATCCAACTGATTTGAACAATTACAGACCCATATCAAACTTGCCCTTACTATTCAAGATATTTGAAAAAATAGTACACAAGAGACTTTATTCCGACCTTACATCCAACAACATACTTAACCCATGCTAGTTTGGATTTAGACCAAAAAAAAGTATGAATGATGCTATTATACAAATGCTTGACCTAATATACACAGCTCTGATAAAAATGAATATCCTCTAGGGCTCTTTATTGACCTACGAAAAGCGTTTGACACAGTTGACCACAATCTCTTGCACCTCAAACTGAATCATTACGGCATAAGAGGGCATTCTGTTGATTATCTAAAAATCCTATCTTAACGACAGACACCAGTATGTACATGCAAATGGAGTCAAGTCCACTATCCAACCTGTAGCTGTAGGAGTACCCCAGGGCAGTGTCCTAGGCCCACTCCTCTTTCTCATCTACATCAATGATCTCCCCAGTGCATCCCAACTCCTTAAACCAGTTCTATTCACAGATGACACTACATATGTCTACTCCCATTCAGACCCAGCTGTGCTTGGAAACACTGTAAACAATGAACTGCTAAAGATATATGCTTGGATGACGACCAACAAACTCACTCTCAACATAGATAAAACATACTTCATGTTGTTTGGCAACAGAGCCTCAAATATTCAACTCAACATACTGTTAAATGGTTCCTCTATATCAAGACACACAGAGAGCAAATTTCTAGGTCTTCTCCTTGACTGTAATCTTAAATTTCAGTCCCATACCAATCACATAGCCAAGAAAATTTCCCAATCAGTACCTCAAACGACTCTCCTTACCCTGTACCACTCTCTAATATATCCTTACCCCACCTGTTGTTAGGTAAGACATATGCAACAGTTAGGTATCTTTACCTAACTGTTGCATATGTGTCTTACCTAACAATCTGTCGGTATTTCATACCATTTTAATGTTCTTACCCCACCTATGGTATCTGTGCCTAGGGCTCAACCACTGCCAACCACTTTAGACCCTTAATAATCCAACAAAAAGCTGCTGTGCAGGTGATAACCAGCTCCTGTGCTAGACAGCACACCCCACCACTTTTCAAAAGACTCAACTTGCTAAATATACAAGACATACACTCATATTATTGTGCCTGCTACAAAAACAGAACTATAAACTCCACTGTAAACCCTCCCCTAAAACTACTCCTCGACAGTTACAACAGAATGCACAGCCACAATACATGGCATAAGGCATTTTTCAACATCCCTTGAGTCAGACTCTCACTATGCAAGAACGCTATGCACATGAAAGGCCCGAAGATCTGGAACTCGCTACCAGAACAGGTCAAGGATCCCCAGACAGCTTATAAATTTAGGACTTTGCTAAAAAATCATCTTATCTCACAATATTAACGAAATCAACCAAACATCTGCTAACTAGTTTTATCATGTGACCTCTAGGCTCTTAATTCTGCCAGTCCATAAAATCATTTTGTGTCTCAATATTAACCAAACCTGCCAAAACATCTGCTAATTAGTCTTATGTGACCTCCTGGCTTTTAATTCTGCCATTCCATAAAATATTACCACCTGCACCATTACTTTTAAGTTAGATTTTGTACTAAGTTTACATAAGATTGATTTAGTTCAAATAAGATTGTAAAACAGTTAACCACTATTCCATGTTTAGTTTTAAGTATAATTACTATGTACTATTATCTTAAATAGTTTTAATTAGTTACTACGTATTAGGATTAGTTTGCCCGAAATGCCTCGGCATGATAGTGGCTATCTTTGTACTTAGCAAATCAAAATTGTAATTACACATTGTAACCTTTACAAAGAAATAAACTTTATTTATTTTATTTATAACCTAGTATTTTGAGGAATTACAGTGGACCCCCGCCGTTTGGCGGCCGCGACTTTCGTGAATTCCGACTTTCGGCAACTTTTTTCGCCAAAATTTAGCTTCGCGGTTCATGATTGGCCTCATGATTCAGCAACCATCCGGTACATGTCCGCTGTCAGTGTGCACAAAAAGCCAGTCTCCCGCATCACTCACACTCAGTGTGCCATTGTTTACCAGCGAGTGACCATCACCCCACAGGTGGTATAGGGCCACTGAACATGCACCACCCTGCTCTCGTCTACCACCCTAAACCTCTGCCAGCATCTCCTCCAAGTGTAAATATTTCTTATTTATAAATTAAAATGTACATATTTCTTATTTATAAATTACATACATTGTGAATAGTGGTTGTGGTTTCTGCTGCTGCCTCCACTACCACTAATATGCATGGCTTCTCTCAGTGGCCCTTATAAACCCAACAACAACACTTCCACCACTTACTCCACACATACATTATGACATACTTTATTCATTCTAGACTATATATCATATTTCTATGTTATTAATATTGTTTATTATGTCATATTAGATGAATTGTGACAGATAAATAAGCATAATAAACTCGCCTCCCTCTCCCCTCCTACCTGTCTTCTGTACACCAACAAGAGTCAATAAAGGTTAGTGTGATGTTAAATGTTCATTTATCCATTTTATTAGTGCTTTATTTTCATTTGTCATTGTTTTCTGAATGTAAATCTATATTTAATCTTTAAAAAAATGATTTTTGGTTAATACTTTTGGGTGTCTGAAACGGATTAATCGGATTATTTCTAATGGGGAAAATGGATTTGCCAATTGTGAATGTCACCATTCGGTAGGTTCTCTGGAACGGATTAATCACAAAACTCGGGGGTCCACTGTACCCTTCCTTTTGATGCACTCTTTACATCTAGTCACTGAAAAGATCAGAGTATGGAGGACAGAAGAATCAATACCCTCCCACACCTACTTAATGATACTCAAGAGTTTGGGGATAATAGACATGTCTAAACTTATGTTTGTGTTGTGTGTGTGTGTGTGTGTGTGTGTGTGTGTGTGTGTGTGTGTGTGTGTGTGTGTGTGTGTGTGTGTGTGTGTGTGTGTGTGTGTGCATTCACCTAGTTGAGATTGCAGGGATCGAGTCCAAGCTCCTGTGTTGTGTGTGTGTGTGTGTGTGTGTGTGTGTGCATGCACCTAGTTGAGATTGCAGGGATCGAGTCCAAGCTCCTGTGTGTGTGTGTGTGTGTGTGTTTGTGTGTGTGTTTGTGTGTGCATGTGTATGTGTATGAGTGTGTGTGTGTGTGTGTGTGTGTGTGTGTGTGTGTGTGTGTGTGTGTGTGTGTGTGTGTGTGTGTGTGTGTGTGTGTGTGTGTGTATATGAGTGTGTGTGCATGTGTGTGTATGAGTTTGTGTATGTGTGTGTGTGTGTATGAATTTGTGTGTGTGTGTGTGTGTGTGTGTGTGTGTGTGTGTGTGTGTGTGTGTGTGTGTGTGTGTGTGTGTGTGTGTGTGTGTGTGTGTGTGTGTGTGTGTGTGTGTGTGTGTGTGTGACTCAACAATCAATATTTGCACCAATAACTCATTACAGTTGTGACCGGGTGTGGAAGTGTGAATTGCTCATTACACTATAATTTGTTCATGATTGTAGCCATGTATAAACGTAAGTAACCATTCTTACAGTATTCATTACCTTTGTAACTTGTGAGTTCATTACCTTGTACCTAGTTCAGCCATCAAAACTTTGGGGCCCAGTCCCTGGACCCATTACGTACCTCTGTAATCTGTAAATACCTTTGTAACTTGTCATGATTGTGACTAGACCTACCTGGAGTTCATTACCTTTGTAATTCGTGAGTTCATTACCTTTGTAAATTGTGAATTCATTACCTCTGTAACTTGCTCAGCTATCAAAACTTTGGAGTCCAGTCCCTGGACCAATTATGTACCTCTGTAATCTTTTGACTACCGCCCACAGGATGGGTATGGGATGCAAAATAAACATATTAAACTAACTAAACTTATGCTTAGAAGATCATGTCTTAATTGACAGTCTACTGTATATCACACCTCAAAGAGCCAGGTGAGTCTTGATAATGATCAGATGAAACTTCAGAGGACCACCAGGCTACCTTATTAAATATATTAGGTGAAAGTAGAGTGAACACATCACTTTCATACTTACCAGGTGAATAAAGGGAAGGTGGTGGCCACCAAGAGCCCGCTCCAATGAAAAGTGTGAGCAACGGGTCAAGTCACGCCACGTCACTGTTGTAGATTCCCGATTTTCATAATGAACCTCACATGTCCCAAGTACGTCAGCCTGTTAAGCCATGTACAGCACATGTAATTTTATTTTATGAGACCCACTTACCAGTATGCATATCAGTGAACACTGAGGAGGCCCCTAATATCCTTCATCTCTTTAGAGTAATCTAACCTCAATTTATTCATGAGGTGACTGATCACTTTAAATTCTGTGGATCTATTCCAGCCTTTCCTTATAGTACTGTTGCTACTTATGGTATTCAACACATCTGGCAAAATTAAAATGCTTTCAGATAATTTACCAAAAAATTACATTATCCACCAGACTCTCTATTAAAGGCAATATTGCATATAAAAATGAATTATTTTACATGAATAGCACATCATGAGATTAGTACAATAACCAGCATAAAATTATGCTTTTAGCACAATTAAAATAGAGAAGAGAGGCTATGAAAAACTGGGTAGAAGGAGAACCTGTATATGGTAGGTGAGGCTGGAAGTGTGGTGGGCAGGTGTGAGGAGAGAAGCCAGTGATCTTTTGTAGTTAAGCGAAGCAGTGGTCTCATCAGCATGGTGTAGAAGTGTAGTGATGCGTCCCCCAACACTCTTCACTACTAATGCTCGCCCTGACCCATGACCTGATACCTGTGAACAAAATGTCAAACACTGTATATTTATGGAAGAGCTCATGGTGGTAGCACCACCATGATAAAGGAAAGACATCATTTATACAGTATTAACCCTTTAAGGGTCGGGCACGTACAAGTACGTCATTGCAACCAGGGTTGGTCACGTGCTTGTATGCCTAAATTCTAGCACCTTCAAATCTGGTGGAAGAAAGCTGGCAGGCCTACATATGAAGGAATGGGTCTGTGTGGGCAGTGTGCACAGTATAAAAAAATCCTGAAGCACGCAGTGCATAATGAGAAAAAAAAAATCTGACCATGTTTTTTATTTAACCCCTTGACTGTCGAAACCCCAAATCCTGAGGTATCTCCTGGTGCAGAAAAATTTTTGAAAAAAAAAAAAAAAAAAAATTCTTATGAAATGATAGAGAATCTTTTCCTGATGGTAATGACACCAAAAAATGAAATTTGATGGAAAACTTACGGAATTATGCTCTCGCGAAGATAGTGACCTCGGAGATATTTACGAATCGGCGATTTTGCCCAATCTCAGCCCTATTTTTTATTAATCTCATTGTTCCAGTCGACCAAACTCATAGCTATTTCTTTATAACTCCATTTGTTCTATCACTCGAGTACAAGAAACTGCCCATTTACCGATTTCAACTACCCAATAACGTGGTCAGAAATTTGCAATTTGGCCAATTTCATGCAAATTAAAATATATGACAATTTCAAAATAGGGTCCAGAATGAACAATGCAGATATTCCTGGCTCTAAAATAACATTTTCTTTGTTTAACAGTCATGTCTCCAGGCCCCTCTGATATTACTCTTGCTTTCTATTTTGAATTTTTATTCAAACAAAAAATATAAGATTTACTGTTATGCAGACTACTGCAATATTGTAATAATTGTATAAATAATGTCAACCCATTCATGACTGCATATTAGAATGTCTAGTTGGACATTTATTGGACAATGACATCATTTGTTTACTTTTGAACATTGGCAAAAATCAAACATTTCCCCTACTTTGAGTTCCATTTCAAGGTTCTTTTCATAGTAAAACCAATCAAACTCACCTCTATTTCTATAATATGTTTTCCATTCTATCAAATGAGACCAAGCAAACGAGAATACAACCATAAATACTATACGAAAATACACCACAAAGTCGACATTTTAATGCAAAAAAACAGTCGGAGTTTTTTTTTCTCATTATGCACTGCGTGCTGCAGGATTTTTTATATATGGTGCACACTGACCACACAGACCCATTCTCTCACATATGGGCCTACCAGCTTTCTCCTGCTTGATTTCAAACCGCTAGAATTTTTGAGTATACAGTGGACCCCCGCATAACGATTACCTCCGAATGCGACCAATTATGTAAGTGTATTTATGTAAGTGCGTTTGTACGTGTATGTTTGGGGGTCTGAAATGGACTAATCTACTTCACAATATTTCTTATGGGAACAAATTCGGTCAGTACTGGCACCTGAACATACTTCTGGAGTGACAAAATATCGTTAACCGGGGGTCCACTGTATATACGTCAAACACGGTGGCTCGTAAGACGTATACATACGACTGAAACAGTCAAAGGGTTAAAACAGCGACTTTATAGTGTATTCTCATTTCCTAGGTCCCATTTGACAGAATGGAAGATATATTACAGAAATTGAGATGATTTTGATTGGTTTCACGATGACAAGTACACCTTGAAATTGAGCTCAAAGTAGCAAAAATTATCAATTTTTGCCGATGTTCAAGAGTAAACAAATTACACCATGTGTCCAATACACGTCATTTGGTGAGTCTAATATTCTTTCACAACTACGCTGACATCATTTATATCGTTTTTACAATGATGCAGTAGTATACATAACAGAAAACCTTCTACTTTCTGGGAGAATAAAAATTCAAAATGGAAAGCAAAAGTAATGTAAGAGGGGCCTAGAGATGTGACAAATGAACAGATAATATGTTATTTTAGTGCCATGAATGTCTGTCTCATTTGTTCTGGACCCTATTTCGAAATTGACATCTTTGGAAATTTGTGTGAAATTGCCCATATTGCCAAATTCTGACCACTTTACTGGGTAGTTGAAATCAGTAAATGGGCAGATTCTTCTACTCAACTGCAACACTGGAATTGGTCGAAAACAGGGTTCAAAGTGGGCGAAATCGCCGATGCATAAACATCGAGACTGCTAACTTCGTGAGAGCATAATTCCGTAAGTTTTCCATCAGTTTTCATACTTTTGGTGTCATTAAGAGCAGAAAAAGATTCTCTATCATGAGATTTTTTTTTTTTTCGAAAAATTTTCAACCCTGAAAGCGAGTTTTGGGAGAGGGCCTCTCGACCCTCAAAGGGTTAATAAATTGAGATGCTTTACCTACTGCACTAAAAGTTATAAATATCCATTGGAAACTACGAAATACAGTGGAACCTTGTTTTTCGGCTGCTGTGTTTATCAGCCGATTTGCATATAGGCTGATTTTTCAGCGGAAATTTAGCTCCATATTTTGGCCGTTGCCTCATATAGGCCGTATTAAGCGTCACCCACCTCCCACAGGTGAGTGAGCATATACTCCGAGCATTCATCCAAACATATCCTTAAAATCCATTGTTTTTGGAGGTTTTTTATTAAGTGCAACTGTGAAATAAGTCACCATGGGCCCCAAGAAAGTTCCTAGTAAAGGTCCTTTGGTAAAGAAAGTGAGAAACACGATGGAATTTAAGAAGGAAGTAACAGAAAAATATAAGTGGTGTGCGGGTGCTGGAACTTCCCAGGATATATGGCAAAAACAAATCAACAATCACTTCTACCCTGGCAAAGAAAGAACAAATCAAGGAAATTGATGTGATTCAGTGATGCTACAATATGTGTAGCCAGTGATAGGAATGGAACTCCGTTAAGTGAGGAGAGGCTGTATTCAAAAATCAACCAGTCTTAACTTGTCCAGACTTACGTGCAACCTCTCCTCACTTAGCGACGTACTCGTTTACCGATGATTCTGTCTTACGACTGGCTCTCTGACCAGTATGCATACCTAAATAATGTATATTAGAGCTGATTTCCTCTATTCAGTTTATTACAATATACAGTACATTGTTGTATAAACATTTAAAAATATACCAGAAATGTTATAAATGGTGCAAAGGTGACACTAAAACAATATCAAAGCTGGTTGACACAAACCCACTGCCATTACAGCCTCTCCTCACTTAACAATGGAGTTTCGTTCCTAAGACCACGTCGGTAAACAAATTTGTCACTAAACAAGGAGCATTCTATAATGGTAGTGGGTGTGTGTCAACCATTTTTTATATTGTTTTAACCCGTAAACAGTCCAAACGTATATATACGTTCACTACCCCAGTGCCCTGAATATTTTGAAAAATAAAAAAATAGTTTTTTTTTTATAGAAAAACGGGCACATTTTTCTAAGTGTTATAGGATAAAAAAAAATTTTTAGGGTCAGTACTTACTGAGATATGAGGCCGCGAAGTTGGCACTTGGCGATCACCTGACGGCAACATGGAGCACAGCCGCTTGCAGAAACTCTACATATTTACCATTTATTTTCCATTTTTTTTTACTTTTCTTGGTTTTCTTGATATGATACTTATGTTTTACAGTAATTCTTTTGATTTCAATGTCAACTGTTGCTTATACACCAATAATATATACAAAATTATTATCATTTTGTCACAGACACATATGTACACACTGACAGGTGATTTTGCACACCTGGCTGAATCACACATTATTATCTACAACTATATACAAGTATTTACATGTCCTACTTATGTTTCTAGAACTCCACGATTGTATGATACTCCATGAAGCATGGATTCATACAGAGTGCCACCCCACACTGGTGACAAATGTATCGTGTGTCCTTTCGCTGTTGGGGTCGTTTTGTGGTGGTAGCACACACAACACACTTTTTCTGGGAATGCTTCTTCTTTGGGGTAGGTGGTATTGGTACCAAGTAGTGACAGTTAGGGATGATTCGGTCTGGCACTTCCCCCACTGGCTGTGGTTGGGGGACAGGTTGTGGTGTGACAGGTTGCTGTTGAGGGGCAGGTACAGATGTGGTACCATACTTTTTTGCAATCTGTTTTACGACATTCAAGGAGAATTCTGCAAAACGTTGTTGTTTTCCAGTCTTTATTTCGTACATATTGAATGCATTGAGCACTGCAATGTCTACAAGGTGAAAAAACAGTATTATATACCACTTGCGACTCCTACGCACACAGTCAACGAACCCTATCATCATGTCACACTTGTCAACGAGTCGCATATTGTTTGTATAGTCGACAACAGCAGCTGGCTTGACAATATGTTCATTGGTCTCCCTGTTCACTTTGTGTTTGTACCATTTCGTTTCTGTGGATGGTTGACAGCAACGTCACATCCCGTTTGTCATGCCACGTCAGTGCCATGATGTCATTGGCATGAAATGCTTGCACTGCACCTTCAATACTGCCTCCACTGAACCTTGGCATATGTTTTCTATTCCTTCTCACTGTTCCACATATATCAGTACTGTTCACACGTAGGAAATCAGCGAGCATAGGGCTTGTATACCAGTTGTCTGTGTACAATGTATGGCCCTTGCCAAGGTATGGTTCCATCATTTTTCGAACAACATCACCAGAAATGCCCAACATGCGTCTGGCATCGTCAAGTGTGTTTTTCCCGGTATATACAATCGCATCTAATACAAGACCACTCTCACAGTCACACATAACAAATAGTTTTATACCAAAGTGATGACGTTTGCTTGGTATATATTGTTTGAATGACAAGCGTCCCTTGAACAAAATCAAGGACTCGTCAACAACAATATTCTTGAAGGGATAAAAGTAGGTACTGAATTTCTGTTTCATATAGATAACCACTTCCCGGATTTTGTATAGAAGGTCATTCCTGTTGGGCCTATTCCTGTCTGAGAAGTGCAACATTCGTAGCAACAGAATGAATCTGTTGCAGGGAAGGAG